GGAGAGAGAGAGAGATGGAGAGAGAGAGAGAGAGAGAGAGAGAGAGAGAGAGAGAGAGAGAGAGAGAGCACATAAGCAATGGGGTTGTGATAGAGTCGGAAAGACAGATTGGTTGCTATTGACTTCTTGAGAGGATCAATGCTCACCACGTTTGCCGGGCTGTGAACTATCAGGTGAGAGCAGTAGGGCTATTGTGTCCAGTCATGCAGTTCTGCATTGTCATGCTCCAGGAAACCCCGTTGAAAACGAGGCAAAGTTCTAGTGTAAGTATGGATGCAGTGGGTTAAGGACATACACTAGAACTTTGTCATGGGTAGTAAGTACAACCTTGACAAAGTTCTAGAGTAAGTACAACCTTGACAAAGTTGAAGATCTTACACTGGAATTTTGTCAAATGATGCAGACTGTAGCTACGGTCTTGAACATTTGCGAAAGTCTATGTGTGAGAAGCAAGGACCTAATTTCACCCACAAATGGCAGCTCTCACTTTGCGAACAACGATTCTGTGGTTGAGGGTAATGCTTAAGGTGAAGTCAGTAGTGGTTGCAGCCCCAATGGTGCACATGGGGTGGACAGAAATTATCAATGTCTCGGATGACGACTACACGGCTTGTTTTTTATTTTTTTAGTATGCAAGCTGCCTTGTTCTCATCACAAATGGTTAACAGGTACCCCCACTTTTCACCCCTAGGGTAACCTTCACCACCCTGAAAAGTGCAGTGGGGATCATGTTTTTTTTTTTTTTTTTTGTGTTGTTGTTTTTTTGCCCTGTTTTGTTTTTGGTCGAGGTTTGTATGTGCCAAGTTTGGTGTTTGTTGGGTTCCTGAAGATGGTTGTTTTGGGGAGTGGTGAAAATTGTGAAAACCGACGAATTGAAATGTTGGTGAAATTTCATGAAAGTGCACTTTTGGCTTGCTGTTTTATATGTTTTTAATTATTTTTTTTTCGGTTTTTTCTTTAACAATAAGTTAGTAAGAAGTGCACTCTATAGATTGGTGTGAAATATGGTTAAAATGGCCCTTTGGTTTTCTTATAAATCGGGGTGAAAATTTGGGGGTCGGTTAACCTTCTGTCGTTCTCGTATGGGGGACAGCCGCATTTTTTACTGCGCTATTTTCTTCTCTCAATATTTTTTCATCCTCACACTACCTACCTCAGGCTATATATATACCCGAACTGGTCTACCCACCTTCCGAAGGTAAGAGGAACAGACACAGGGTTTAGGGTCTAAGACTACCCCTCAGGCTAAGCAACTAACTTTTTAATGTACTAGCCAGGGCCAAGCTATACTAAGGTTATCCGTCTACGCCTACCTGACTCTGCTCTGTGCGGGGATCAGCACGCAAGCTCCTAACACCTGGTGCGGGCCGGAAAGTCAAGGACAACTTCCACAAACCGTTTTTTTTTTTTTTTTCCTTGCTTTTTCTTGGACGCAGGTGTCACCTCAGCGGTTTGCATTCACAGCGGATAATCCATGATGGCAACCTTGTGTTCATGTGTGCTGCTTGATGTCCGTGTTCCTGTGCATGCATCTGCGGGAAATCAAGGATAACTTCCGCAAACCGTTTTGTTTTTTTTGTTTGCTTGGTTTTTCTTGGACGCAGGCATTACATGAGCGGTTTGCATTCACAGAGGATAATCCATGTCGGCAAAATTGTGTTCATGTGTGCTGCTTGATGTCTTTGTTCCTGTGCGTGCATCTGTCGTTTTTCCTTGTTCAGGCTCCAGACGTCCGAAACTCTACTGTTGATGATCCAAGAGAAGATTAAATGGGCCGACAACATGAGCGAAGTGTACAAGCGCCACAAGACAGAGGTCGAAGCAAAGGCCGAGGAAGTTCGGATCAACATTAGGGTGAGGGGGGCGTCATTTCTTTTCTCTTTTTTCCTTTCCCTTTTTCTTTTTGCCCTTCTTTTTTGTTTTAAATCTGGACTATTTCTCAATTTATGCGTGGCATCTTTGAGCAGGGGCCATGCTAATCTTCTTTCTCTGTATGGTTCCAATTTTAATGGATGTCCGCTGTCCAGTCTGTAAAGCCGGAACTATTTCAGGATGAATCACCTACAAATCTAGGTGGGTACGCGCTCCTCGACACATGCCGAAGCGCCCGGCCAGGCGTGAACCTCGGGTAGTGGCCAGGGGCCTCTGGGCCCAACAAGAAGAGGGATTTCTGGCCATTGTATGCCCTGGCAGTCGCCATTAGGTTCCCTTCCCCGCAAGGCGCCAAAAAGTAAAATAGCAGGGGCCCCTCTGGCCCTGTCACCCTCGAAGACCACGACAAGCTCAAGGGCTGTCGGGGGCCCTCGATCGGAGGCAAACCTGCAAAGGCACTGCACAATTGTGCATGGCCATCCACACAAAATTGCTAGGGCAGTCATGAACCAACCCGCTCGCTGCAAATCTGCCCATCGCCATGGCGCACTTCTCGTGCTGCTGGTGTCGCCTTTGCCGAAGGTGAGTTTCTTCTTCTTCTTCATGTCGTGTGTGTGTCTGTGATGGAGGGAGAGAGAGAGGCCCACCATCGTGAAACCTTGTGACGCTTCGCATGATGTTGCACGAACTGAAGGCACCCTGCACGACCTCCCCCTTCCCCTTGACCTAAACCTGTCAACCTACCGTCTGAAAGGGGGGGAGAAACCTCTTGAACATTACGTGACATCGCAACTTGGTGAGCTCGTGACCTTCTGTGTGTGTGTGTGTGTGTGTGTGTGTGTGTGTGTGTGTGTGTGTGTGTGTGTGTGTGTGTGAGAGAGAGAGAGAGAGAGAGAGAGAGAGAGAGAGA